AACTTGAGATTCTGACGATCAGTCAGATCAAGATCTTCGTTGTGGACCTGGATGACTTCCTCGCCCGTGTCCAGAACTTCATGCTCCTCACGGCTTTCGTCGTTCTCCAAGATCAGCTGACGCCGACGATTCTCGCGGATCAGATACCATCGGATGATCAGGCACATTGCTGGAGAAATGAACCAGAAGGCAGTCATGAAGGCCCAGGGAAGTCGGTAGCGCGGCTTGTACTTGGGCTGCCAGAATCTGAGAAAGCGCATCAGTCAATGAACCAAGCATGGCGGCCGCGGAGAGAGCTTACTCAGGGGAGATCATGTTTGCGACTGCTGCGGCAACAACACATGTGGACATCACTGTTAGCTTCTTAGTGTAGCCGGTTGTTGCCGTCCCAGCCCAAGACAGACCGAGAAGATAAGAGGGCTTGAAGGTAGAAATCTGTGTGCCAACGACGAGAGCGATTTTGTTGGACCAGGGCGATGCCAGCTGAAAAGGTTCAGTACTAGAATGGCCTCGCGGCATAGGAAGCTCACCTCGATAATACCCCCAACAAAGCATGGTATGTAAGAGATCGCACACGTGTAGCCGGTGCCTAGTCGAGTTCCATAGAGCATAGCAGCTGAAACAAGGATAAGGAGTGAGCCGATGAGAGGCTTGGCAATGTTGAATAAAGCGCTCTCGGCGGCTGTAAATCCAAACCCGACGATGATCAGCGGCAGTTGCTGCGATGTGTTGTTCGGAAGTTCGTTGAAGAACATGTGAAAACTATCGCAACGTTAGACTGTTCAGAGATTCTAGAGGTACCGATTTCGCGAGGAGACCAACATGAACAGCCAACTCTTGGGATCCGAGAAAGCCTCACGAACATGCGACCACTTCCAGGAAGAGTTTTTGATGCCAGATTGGGCTTCGCGAATGGCTGAGATGGTGTGTATCTTCTCTTCTGTTGAAAGCCACTTTGCTTCCACCGGAGAGTTGGGCAAGAAGAACACGAGAGGCACGCAGACGATGAACGTAAGAATGACGCAGATGATATGCAGCCATTTCCATGATGACAACCCACCAACAAGAGCGTGACTATCATCAAGGAGAATAAGCTTGTAGGCAACCATGGTAAGCAAGACGTTAGCCAAGCTCCCAGAAGCCCACCAAAGAAGTTGGACCCATGGACTCTTCTTGGGAGGGAAGAATGCCTGGTGAAGGATTGTGGTACTCGGAACGATCTGGGACTCGGTCTGAACATTTTGCAAAGGTCAGAAGATAAAGGTCACATCGTGGAAAATTTATAGAAGCCCACATACCATGCCTAGGATGAATCTGAGGGCCATAAGCTCCTTGCCCGTCTTTGCAAGCGGGTGCATGCCGAGCAAGAAGGCCCAAAGTAGTAAGGAGCCGACGATGAATTGCTTTTGACCAGTCCGCTGGGATAACCAAGCACCAGGCCAGAGGGCGATGAGGTAGCCAGTATAGAACACCACAAAAAGATCGTTGTACTGCTTTTTGGTCATCTCGACATCCTTGAAAATGCCCATCGTACTGGCTTGCGACAGAGTCGACTTATCCAAATGGATGAGGAAGGCGATCCACCATGTCTGTCCTAGAAGAAACCAAAAGTTCTTTCGAACAAGTCGCTTCTCAGCCCCAGGTGACAGAATTCCAACCTTGTCTTTGTTGAGATTGTAGAAGACTGTTGTATCGTCGACTTCGCCTTTGGTGACGGCATGTTGCTGTCGTTGTCCCGCAGGCGTTCCTGGAGACGTCGCTTTTCCAGTTACGATAGGTGTGTGATCAGGTGTGGAATGAGAGATAGGTTCGATCTCAACGACCTTTTTCTCGAAATCTGTTTCGCTCGACATTTTAAGGCTTCGATTTCGCAACCGCTCGAGTTCAATATGCTCGCAACAGAATGTGCTGTTAAGAGTCAAACAATCCAGATTCAGAAGCTTTCGGAAGAGGACTGAGTCTTGGACGGCTTATATATCACCCTAGAAGCCCCAGATCCTCATCGATTCATCCATTATCATCCGATTGTCTTGGCGTTGACTCTTCTGATTTTCCGAGTCTGTATTTCCAGAGCATCAACCATAGAGGTGGCCTGGGACCAGGATTGGAATCGTCCCTGACCGGCTGGACTAACCCCCGTGAAATCAAGATGAGGCTTTTGATCCTAAACAGGCAAATGGCAAAAACAAGCAGCAGATGAAGACGACACCAATGAGCTGCTTTGGTAATGCGTGAGAAAGGCAAGGGGCGAAAGCGAGGACATCAAGGTTGCTCACAGCCCCTGCGTCTTGCGCAGATCTCTATGCAACCGACAAATTCACCCCTGTGAAGACGTAACATATCATACTTTCAGGTCGTAATACCCATGTCAGACTCTTGGCTCTCGGAGAACAAGCCTTCTTGGCGACCGGCCCGAAGCATTGTGGCCTTGGTTAGTGGGAACTGACGCGTCTCATAGGAATTTAATGTCGGTCACTGATACCTGAGAAAGGATCGAGTAATACGGCTCATCGATCATTCGCTTTGTGAGTCAAATTCCCAAACACTAAGAAGTATGGCGTGCATCCTCAAAACCAACATAATCCTTGATTTTAAAATTCAAGGATTGACAGTAATCAAATTAGTAGTTGGACCTGCGAGAATAGGCACAATTGCATGCGATCCCAATGGCTAAGCCTCCTTTGATCCTCCGATATTTCTCGGACCCTCAGGGCCCTCCTCTAGGCCGTTGCCCCTGCGAATGTTGTCCCTCCAGCGCCAGTGCTGCCTCATGAAGGAAGTACTCTGATCACCATGTATCAAAATGTCGGCTGCGTGCTGTAAACATTGTCAGACGATACGCCAAGAAGAGTCGAAGCTTTTGCTACCCACCTCGCCAAGCACGGGAAGGAACTTGGCACCGTGTCCACTGCCTCCAGTCGCGACGAAGACAGATCCTTCGGAATAAGTAGGCACATGGTCGACCTGAAATGATCAGCAAGTGAAAAGGTTTAAAACAGACAAGAGCTGACTCACAACGAAAGAGTTGTCCAACGAGTCGGTGTACCAGCATAGCTTAGTCGAATTGAAGTCCTTGTCGGCGAATTCCGGGAGGAAGATAGAGACGAACTTTCGAATGGCCTCCCTCGCAGGGTCTGGGACTATGCTGCAATCAGCGGGCGGTAGAGGCACGCTCCACTGGCCGTCCTGAGTGAAGCCCGCCTCTGAAGGCGCATGTTGGAAGTTGGTAAACTGGGGGTTGTCTTGTTAGCCTGATACGAGCGAACACGACGACGCATAAGTACCTTGATGCCTCGGAACCCGATTTTGATGAGACCATCGGCAGTCCGAGGAAAAACGTAAACACTGCCGGTGTCTTTACCGCTCGGATTGCGTGGTGCACTTTTCCAAGTGATGACCGGGAAGCGTTCAGGGGAGTACTTGTCCCACAAATCTGCGCTGTTCTTGTCCACCTTGAAGGTGACTACGCTTCCTGCAGACGACTCAAGGTGGTAGGACAAATCAGGCAATAGCTGCGTTGAGAAGGATCCAGCTGTTGACTATTAGTCGCGCAACCTCGCAGGTAGTGGTAAAGGAGAGTATGCATACCGCAAATGGCAACCACGTCCGCTTTATGAAGGACTCCGTCTTTGGTCTTGACCCCGACTGCCTTCTTCAGGTGTGATGGTGAGTCAACTTCTTCGATAATACTGTCAAAGGTACCTTTCCCGGGGCCAAAGTGAAACTCAACGCCCTGTTTGAGAGCCAACTTGTAGAAGTAGGCACAGGCTTCGCTGCATTTTGTGAATCCTGCAGTTGAGTCCAGAACAGCTTCATAAGTCTGAGTAGGCAAGGCTTGTGGAATTTCGAAATCCAGAAGCTTTCCTTCCCATCCACGCTCAGCTGCTCGAGCTCTATCAGTCGGGTCGCTCTTGACGAATTGAGTATCTCTGAGGCCGTCTCGTTCAAAGTTGCTCAGTGTCTCACGCTCAAGTGGATCGAGTTCGGCGGTGGGCTGAACTCGGAGCATGCCAGTCCCGCTAAAGAGCTCTGATTCATGATCTTCTTGGTGCCTCTTCTCGTTGATCTTCTCCCATGCAGCACGACTTTCAAATGCTAGACGCTGGTAATGAAGCTTGCTCCCGTAAGAAGCTCGAAACTGGAGACATTACATGAGCATAGCTTGGAATGTACACTCAATCTCCCCAAACTTACGATCTTGTTGTGATCTACCGAGGCAGCCTGCGTATTTCCATTCAAGTCGGGTTCATAGTGCGTCTCATCATAACAGTATCTGTCTAACACTGTTACGCGGTACGCTGAGAAATGAGGATTAGCTCGAGGGCCACATCCAGGTATGGTAGCAAGGCGCGCTTACCACGTTTGCTCAGAGCAACGGCCAAAGACAGGCCAAAAATGCCAGCTGACAGAAATCAATCAATTGTTTGCAAATTCTCACTCTGTGTTCTGCACGTACCGCCCACGATGGCGACTGATTTGGGTTCAGACATGATGCTCTGCTTCTCGCTTGCTTTTCTTGTCAACCCAGAAGATGCGGAGCGCCGCGACGCTGCGAGAGGCGGGGAGCGATATACTTTAATGCTTCCGAAATCGCTGATCCATGCCTATCAAGGTGCGGAGATACCTAGTCGGTTGGAGCTGGCACGCCATTGAGAATCGGATGATTTGCCGCACGACGTAGGAACAGCTCCACAGCTCTCCGTCGCGGCCAAGAGAGCAAGCAGTTGAGAATATGTTACTTCAAAAGCAAACACTGTTCTCGTTGAGAAATATAACTTGTTCAAGATTATAAATGAGTCTAATTTACGAATTCTGGGAACCATGAAAGTAGACGAAATCCGCTTCCAATGCTAGCAAGCCCTTAACAGACGAGTTTGATCAGGAGAAATCAGTGAAGAACCATCTAATTTATCGGACTGCCGGCCTCCACTCGGAGCGGTCACTAAGTAACTCTCTGGGGGCCGCAGGCCACACCATTTGCAACCCTCAAAACATGAGACTCATTTGCCTCGTTTGATCCATTTACCCATCCATTTTGCATTGGATTCTTTTGCTTCATTGACCAATGCCAACTCCAATAGTAGCTGTACTGAACCTCTTATAGAGGAGTGCAGAGACGAGCTGATCCAAGCATGAGTCGGAGCTGTGTGTTCACCAATAAAGATGGTGTTGTGTTCCGTTCGATGGTATGCCGGGATATATCGCCAACGAAGATAGTTCGGAATCTTCCTCCGACGCGGTCGCTAGCCTTGATGAGCTCCCAGTTGTGAACGCCAACTCTATCCAGCATTAGGCCTATAGCCAGACCAGAAATACCGGCTCCAACGATGGCAATGGAGATATCGGTGTTCTGGGATGATTCGGAGCTTCCGTCAAGAGCTGCGACTTGATCAAACCAGGCGCCATTTGAGTCGGGATTGATGGAACAGGTGCTGCTCCGTAGATGCTCTTCTTAGCAATTGGTGCTGAGGCGCGGCTCGGCTCGAGACGTGATGACTGAGAGTTAACAAAAGATAGCTTTTAAGCCGGGTAGAAACCATCATTACTGAACTTTCTGCGTCAAAGATACAGGTCGAGACCGAGAAGATTTGTCCAGCGAAGGAAAGAAAACGTTAATGAGGTCAAGATAGAACACATTATGCCCGGAGGCGTCACCTATTTACAATTCACTGCTGAGAAGACCATTCGCCATTGCGTTTCTTGAGTAGTTTTACAATTATCCTTGAAGCACCCATCATCTTGATAGCTTTTGTTGCCAAATGAGTCTGGCGATTGCAGGCCTTAGTCCGAATAAAGTCGAAACCCTGATTCAAAATCTCTCTTTCCTGGAAGAGCTCTTGATCATGAACAAATTTGTGAGCTATGAGTTAAGACTTTGACAGCACTGCATACTTCTGGGAACGTGGCCACAGCTTGTTTCTTGCCGAATGAAATCTGCTCATAGGAGCCTACGATCCTGCGTTCGCTTGAATGAAGCGAGGCAAGAATTGTATGGTTGCAACATGCCCGAAGCTAATGCAAGTTCCCCTTGTTCCATGTCTTCATCGCTGAACTTAGTATCTATCAAGGTACCACCTGACCTGGGCCATCAAGGTTGCACAATGGATGTGACCGGTGTTGACCCGAAGAACCTCGTAAATACGCGTCGGCGAAAATGGACCGCCTAACTGCCTGACATAAACCCGGCGCCAAGACACCATTGGGCGCTAGACGATGCTTCCTCATCTACCATCAGGAATGACATCAGGAACAACCATCATCTCATGGGGCGGTTCAACTACAAAATCAAGTGTCACGATTCTGTGTCTTGCTCGATTGATTCGATTATGCGCGTTCCCTGAACGCCAAAAGATATCTCTAGAGATACGTGCACTGCCAGGCTACTGGCGCCGCGAGGATTTCCTTCAAATTGTATCTTAACAATAAGTTGGGCTTCCGACATCGTTATGCCTGTCGCACAGATAACGTAGTAGTCTCTCCCACGAGTCACACTGAACACTCACTCATTGCGGTCATATGTTAATCATTGACTGCTAATCCATCATAGAACTCAAATCTTGGAGATTTCGACATGGATCCAGAGGCAACCTCAGCAGCTGCCTCGACTTGGCTTGAGTAACTATCAACATGTGATCTGCCATCGTTTAGCGTGCAAGGCTTTCTTGGTCGCGATGCTACCGAAGATGAAGGCTTTCTTGACATAGCGGGCACGTTTATCATTAGTCAAATCGTCTACGCCGTAGGTGCAAAGCAATGTCACTCTTTCCTTCCCGGTTTTGTACGAATAACTCTTAGCCTTCTCAGACTTTTCGGATCTTGTCGAACAGTACAGAAAATGGCGAGAACGTGGTTGTAAGGCAGATGAACAACAAAAAGGCCAATGACCTCATACCTCTGTCTGATCCGCCGAGCGTTTTGGACTACGTCAAAGACGACGGCCGGTACCTCGACAATTTACGACTTCAGATGGATGAATCATGATCAGATGCCTTTGTGCGCTGCAAGCATCCACACTACCACAACGACCATCGTACAATATCTGTATGACCCAGGTAGCCAGTCACCCGCAACACAAGCTAGAACTGCTTCTGGAAGTGCAAGAGGTTATTGAACAGCATGGAGATGTAATCAACAGACGTCCGGCTTCCAACTTGGAGAGACTGAGCAGCTTCGTCAAGGAAGCACAAAGGTCTTGCTTTCCTGATCTGAGTAAGTCGTCATCCTTCTCGAGGCCATCTCCTCGAACCGCAAACCTAGCCTAATAAACACTTTCATCACAGCAACTTTCCACCACAACCCTTCTGCCTCAGTCACACTCTCTAATGGGTTTTGCATCCCCAAAAGTGCAACAAACGAAGTTGCTAGTGGCGCCATCAACGCGGATGTGGAACTCTCCGATATTCCCTCTGAGTTCGATGATTTACGATTCTACAAGGAGAGACAAGACGGTCCCGGTGGAAGTCTTGAAGCGTCGATTGCGACATCAGATGCCAGAGGGTCAAGGTCAGTATGGGAATTTGTAATTTCAGGGCCACGTAGGAAACTATCCAACTCAACTCCCTTGGGCGAAAACATAAACACAGGATAACCAGCCTAACCAGCTGACGCGTAGCCTCATCGGACATTGCCCAAGGAGGAGGACGTAGTCTTCATCCGATACAGGACTGCATGATCCGAAGAAACACCAAGGCATTGAAAGCCAAAGCCTGGTCGAGGCTGGTTGACTGAATTGGATCATGGACAATACTCTCTTGGTTTGATGTTTTCTCTTCACAACAAGTTGATCGCTAGTATGGTGATATCCTGAAGCAATAATTACCCAATCGCAAGATATTTAGCAAGCTTGGCAAACATTGCCGCTACAAATTTGGCCTTTATCCGCACATGATTGATACTACAAAGCCTAGTCAGCTCAACTGGAACGATTCGATGGAGGGCCTGATTGCGCACATAGTTCCAGGTCATTTCATTCCTGCCAGGGAAAGTGTAGCACTGCACAATGTTGTTCCCAGAACAGCCGAAGGCGTTCTTCAAATCGCAGCCCTTGCCTTGGTTGGCACTAATTGGAATTGTGTCACAAGCGCCAGATCTACACACTTGTCCTCTGTCCGCGCATGAGTCGACCTTGATTGAAGTCAGCTCCAATGGTTCTGGTGGATGAAGGTTTTAGAAACAAAAACTTACATAGTTCCAGGTCAGTCCACTTCTCCCCGGAAAAGTGTAGCACTTTACAATATTATTCCCCGAACAATCTATAGCATCTACTGTTCCGCAACCTTTGCCTTGATCAGCAGCAATTGCCACCGAAGCGAAGAGTGGAAGCAAATAAAAGAAGCGCATTTTCAACGAATGTAAGAGAACAAGTGTCTCAGAAGGAGTGATCACAAAGAGGTGACAAGCAAGCGGGACTTGGCTCTGGTGTCATTTAGGACATGCCAATGTATTTATCCTTCCGCCGCGAGTCCGGGAGGGCTACCGACGCACTGCGATGTCTCTGGTCGCAAGGTTTGATGGACTCGTATAATTAACCTCATGGTAGTTCGCCCCATTGTGGGCGTCGCGGGGAGATAGAGGGGGATATTTGGAGAGGGATGTCACTCTGCCTAAGGCTGCCCAGGTCTACTGAGTCGTGGAAATGAAGACCATCGGTGCATGAAACCAGGTACTTTGTAGTAGGTTTTGATAGCCTTAGCACATCTTAGGGGATCGGGCAACCCGACATCCCACAACGAACCAGTGAGACCACTGTACTTGTTCCCCGCTATCCCTACATGCGATTTGGCACTGACAGAACCTTACTTGATTGCTCTTTAGGCTTGACTCAGCGCCAGATTCGAAATTAAATCCTGTTGAGTAGAAATCATAGAGGTCTCTTCCTTTTAACTCATCTTTAGCTGAGCTCATGATTGAGTCCAGTCTGTGTTATAGTTTATTTGTCGCAGATTACATCGCTGAATACGAACAGCGCCGGGTATCAGTCTGCACACGTCTCATTATTACGAGTGTCAACTCGTGAGCAGCTTGGCAGCGAATTATAATAAGGGCAGCACGCATTCAAGAAATTCGTACGCCGCGACGAGTCCCGACAGTCCTAAATCAAGTCTTCATCGTGCATTCAAGTCCGACTATCATGAAACACCATACAGATCTCAACGGCCTACAAGCTGCAGCGGCAGCTTTTCTATTTGTACAAGGTGCCAACGCTGGCAAGGTTTACTGTGCCGACGTACAAGAGAAAGTTGTAGCCGAAGCCAACTGCGACGGCCAAGCGACTCCCGGAACGTACTACATGTTCAACAGCCAAGAAGAACACGCCATCGGCTCGAAGGTCGACTTAAAGAACGCACAAGTATACGACAGCGCCGACGCTTTCGAAAAGCGGCACGAACTGTTCCCAGCCGATATCCCATTACAAGAATTCGAATCCGATGGCTTTGGAAAACGCGCGTGTCGAGTTGGCGGTGTTGGTGGAGGCTATCGCGGTGGTGTATTCGTGCCATACTACGGCGGTCGGGTAATTAGCGGGGGGGTTGGTGGTTGAAAATTGCAGGCGTCGTTGTCTGAAGATTGAGCAAAGAGTGAATGCCGCGAGCTTGGTGAGGCATGTATACTGTGTTTCTTAATTGTATTCTTGGCAGACACATCGGTTGCCACCTTATCAGTCCCATCCACGGTCTTCATCGTCTGGCTTGTGCCAGTATTCGGAAGCGTATTAGTGAACAGAATTCCAGGCTATCGCCTGTTCCTGTCTACAGACATTCACGGACTCCATGAGCCTAGCAAATGTTCAAAAATGGAGAACATCAGGTATTCGCTGATCACCATTGACAAAAGCAGTGCCCTCATCCCGCTGTCGCTAGGTAGGATTATCTAGATGGCACAGAGGTGGCCTTACTCGTTATGGAATTGTCAACGTAGTAGGTTCCGCCCTACATCACATAACGCCATTTGCGTCGGGTCGATGGAAACCTCAACAGCTGAGCCTTTCACAGCAAGCACAGTTTGTCTGGACCGAATGTCTCGGACATAGGCTCGTCGTATCCCCATAGCGTCGATCAGCTCAACGGATGCAACCAAGCAAGGCTTGGCTGTCGGTGATTTTCATCAGCCATCGCCGAAAAAGGTGGATACCGACACCGAGAATAGTGGGTCTCTTCGCCGAAAACACAGAAACATGGCATGTAAGGCAACATGAATACAGGCCTTGAAGTTCTGAGATACGCATATAAAAACTACCTTCACCACTTGATTCTGCAGAGAGATTATCTGTTGCAAAATCATAAGCATCTACACATCAATTTCCCACTCTATTATTCAACTACTCCATCTCACCAATCCATCATCTTTACAGATCACAATGGGTGTCCACGGCCGCTACACTACTGAGAAGGTTACCTACCCGTCTCATGAAGAGACTATCGCTGGTATTCTCTACAAGCCTCAAGGCATCACCAACCCGCCCGGAATCGTGGTTCTAGGCCCCTATTCGTTTGTCAAAGAGCAAGCTCCGTTGCAGTATGCCACACGACTGGCTGACGAAGGCTACGCGGCCTTGATCTTCGACCCACGCACTGTCGGAGAGAGCACCGGCCAGCCACGCCGCTTGGAAAACCCTGTGATGAAGAACGAAGACGTGGTCTCCGGTCTCGATTATCTCGCTGGTAGGGGCGACGTGGATGCAAAGAGACTATTCCTCGTAGGCGTCTGTCAGGGAGGCCCCGAGTGTCTTGATGTGGCGTCCTACGACGACCGCGTTGTTGCTGTTGCTTCCGTCACGGGATACTACCGCGACCGCGAAACGGATATCTGGATGATCTGCTCGGGGTGTGTCAATGTCGAGCCAGGTGTTGACGTAGGAGCTTTGAAGATGCCTACACCTGAGCAAGGAGAAGCCCTCTACGATGCGCGCATCAAACGAGCCAAAGAGGCCAAAGCCCTGTACGAAAAGACCGGGGAAGTCATCTACCAACCTCTCGTCGACCCCAAAGCTGCGGACCCGAACGTTGGCTCTCTTGCCGGGCTTCCAGGACCGATCGTATGGTCGTGGTATGGCCCCTGGACCTTGAAGGGTTTCGAGAATCGGTATGCGGTCATGAGCGATTTGGACCATTTTGGCTATTCCACGGTCGATGGTGTGTCCAAGCTCACTAAGCCAGCTTTGGTAATTCATGGTGATAATTGCATGAATGCCGCTGCAGCCAAGAGACATTATGAGTCGATCCCGACGAAGGAGAAGAAGCTGATTTGGGACGCTGATATCTCGCACTTCCAGCACTACGAGCAGCCGGATATTGTGGATAGGAACGTTGGTGAGATCGCGGCTTGGTTTGGACAGACAAAGGTGTAAATCAACGAGTCTAAGTCTTCAATAAAACTAACTCATCTTGATCTTGCCATCTGCAGTTGATGATGCAGACAAAACCTTCAAATTGGTGACAAACTCGTGATACTTAATTAAAATGGTGAGAGTACGTATTAGCACCGTGTTCATTGTAAGCTTCTACTCACAATCCTGTGAACAATCAGCAAAGGCACCAAAAATAAGAGATTGCGTTGCCATGGGGCGTTGAACGGCAGCAGTAGGCGCCACTAATGTTACCGGAATTTCCCTTTCGCGCGGTATCCGAACTCTGTGGACGATGAGAGTTGTTGTGATAAGCGCAAAACCAGCCGATCAGCCGATGGCAAAATCCTTCCATCCGGGCAAAGCTGCCGACGTCCTGTGCAAGCCGCTCGCGGTCTCCCTTACCAATTACCGGAAGGGGGAACTGGCTTTAAGTTTGGCCGAGTGGCCTGTGCATGTGCGATTATGTAAACAGGGATCGGTCCTCATACAAATCCCCTCAGCGCCAGCGATGTGTCGATCAACCCCTCAACTCTCTTCATATGCTGAGCTAGGCTTTTCATGATGTATAGCTGGGGAGTTGATACTTCCAGCGCCCGCCCATCGCACAGGCAGAAGCGCCTGGTGATCTCATGTTCAGAATGTCACAGACGCAAACAGAAAGTAAGCTTTTTGGTTGGCAGGTAGCTTACCTTGGTCTGATTAGCACCAGTGCGATCGACAGCATCCGTGTTTTCATTGCTCTCGACGAGGCAAGCCTGTATGGCCCTTTCCCCCACGAGTGTGTTGAACTACACTTACAAAATTTAGGGACTTTGCCGTTATGAGTATACCGAACAAAAATACGTGGGTGTTGAGAAATTGGCAACTCAACCCAGAACAGCCCCAGATCTGTCAACAAGTCCATCCCAGTCGTCATCCGACAACACGCCTGGTGGAGAGGAGACGTCCGTCACTGCTCATGAGCTATCCAAACGACTCGGTTACTCTGTCAATGTCAAAGGGACCCTTGATATTGTTTCCCAACTCGGGGCATTGAGCCATGACTCAGCCTCCCGTAGTGGAAGGCCACGGAACCATGATGCGGCAGTTCACTACGTGAAACTCGTAAGGAAGATACCACAAAGGGAGCACATTAATATCCTTGTGGAATCGTTCTTCAACAATGTTGCATGGCAATACGATGTTATTGATTACTCAAGGTTCCGGGACGAGCTATCAAACTGGAATCACATCTCCTCCGCAACGTTGAATCTGGGCCCCGAGAACTTGTCTGTCAGCATCCGGGCCTTCCCTGCTTTA